GTGTGTGTATTAAATCCATAAATGTTATCAAGCATAGTGCTCAGTACTAAATATAGATAGTAACTTATTTTAATGTTGCCATACTTGTTTTGATTTCATTTCAGCACGTATATCTTCTTTGTTCCAGAACCATTTCATGCACATTAGTTAGGATTGTGAACATGTTAGAAAACTCTATAAGTAGAAACAGAAACTTTGAGATTTTTGTTTTCAAATAACTTCCTGTGCCATTTATTAAACTACTATCTCTAAACTTTAAACTCACCATTCTATAATGTACTTTGTGAAACTGGCACTGGAATTACAAGCCACACTTCCTGTTGGCCCCCAGTTTGGCGCTGCCATGGGAGGGGACCAGGGAGAGAGCAGGAGGCTGGGAGAGCAGGAGAGGCTTGCTCCATCCTATTTGCTTCCTGAATCTGTCTTTCTGCTTGTTCTCCCCGTGCACCCTAGAAACCATTTTTCATGCTGCAGTAGCACATCATTCTGTAGCAGATGTTGATGCCAGTTTTTAGTTATTCCAATGCTCATAGAACCAATCCCAGTGTCCCTCCTCAGCGACATTCGCATGGCTGGCCAGGACACCATTTTCAAAGGTTTGAGTGGCAGCTCCGTGGGCAATTCCTCAGAGCTCAGAATGAGATGCTAGCACCAGACAAGCAGCGAGTCTACAGAGCACTTCCCTTAGTCTGACAGGTGTTAATCATCTCAGCTTCTTCCCTGTTTCCCCAGCCCAAGGGGAGGCTGCCTCCTGAAGCCCCACAATCCCTTATTTCAGTGTCCCCCTTCGCCTTTCCAGGTCTTCAATATCTAGTCATTGATTCTTTATCAATGATCCTCTAATAGGTTAAGTCTGTTCTTTTTTTTTTGAGGGGGTGGCTACAGGTTTTTAAATTTTTCACCAAAAGCAGCCTGTACTATTTCATCCTTTTTCTGCATCCCCGTAATCTTGTTCATTTACCATTTTTCTTCATTGTTCAGATACCATATGGGTTTCCCTAACTTTAAAGGACTAGATGGTTTTGTTTGCAATTCTTCACCCACATCATTACAATTTTTAAAAACAATTCTAACCAAAAATATCTGTGCTGGCATAGCAGACATATTTAAGCATTTTCAAGCATTTTTTTGTATTTTATTAAATTCAGGGTATACTCTCTGTGTACAAATTCCTCTAGGCTCTTAAGTCCTGGCTTTGAAGTTAAAACACACCCAAGACAAACATAGCTAGGAAAAGAGGGAAGGTGGCAGTAGGGATGGGAAAAAGAGGGACAGTGATTTTTTTTGGAAATAGAGAAACAGTAGGCTACCAGTGGTGATAAGGAAAGGACTGGCTGTGTGGTAACAGTAGGAGATGTCAGAGGAGATGGAATATACCCTGGTTATCTTTATAAGTAATGGACAAGGAGGGCGTAAAGGTGTGCATTGCGCTTTATGACCCATGAGGACACAATGACCCTTCCAGAATTGGCCTAGACCCGTGGTCGGCAAACTGCGGCTCGCAAGCCACATGCGGCTCTTTGGCCCCTTGAATGTGGCTCTTCCTAAACCTTAGGAGTACCCTAATTAAGTTAATAACAATGTACCTACCTATATAATTTAAGGTTAAAAAATTTGGCTCTCAAAAGAAATTTCAATCGTTGTACTGTTGATATTTAGCTCTGTTGACTAATGAGTTTGCTGACCACTGGCCTAGACACTTTAACTTGGGACCACCCGGAATTCATTTCAGGAAGATAGAACACTCAAGAAGGATTAAGGACCTTTACCTCAAAGACTAACTGAATGAATTAGTTAGGGGGAAATATCTTCCAAATTTACTTCAAAAAGTTTCAAAAATGCTATTTAAAGCTAAAAAGCCAAAGAAGCAAGAACACAGTCAATTAATACTGTGAAATATTTGGGGTAAGAATTGGGATGAAGTAGGAAGGAAGAAAAGGATTGCAAGACTTGTTACCTAAGGGATATAATTATGCCTGCAACATATTTCCCAGGGATATTTCAATCTTTAAGTTTTCAGCTTCTGTGCTTTCAAAAACCGGCCTTAAAAGTGTGTAATCCAGAGGCAATGTGAGACATATCACTGATTACTTTGAGTTCCCAGCTGTCCTATTTTTTATAGCTATCTATAGCTATGTAGTTGACAATAAACTATTTTATAAATGTCAGCCACTTCTCACAAGTTTAAATTGCTTGCTTTCTACCTGTGAAACACTTAGATAAATGACTTTAAATTTTTCTCTAACTTAACCCTTAGTTGCAGCAATCAGAGAAAATTTGATTTTGTATAAGACTTCTTTCAATGAATGCTCGACTTGAATGTGGTAACTACTTCTTAAACTGGAGCTTGGTGCAGTTTTGTGAGTAGGAAAAATTACAATTTTTGTTTTAAATTTATAAATAACAGTCTATCTTTGCAGACCTGGAATTGATTTCTAGGAACTCTAGTCCCTCTGTTCTATGTAGGACAGCCCTCTGGGGCATCCCAGTTGGGGGACCTTTTATTTATTAATTGGTAACTCCAATAGTTAGAAAATGTTGATGCTCAAAGCATCCATTTCTCATTCATTGAATGGGAAGAATGTTCTCCCAGTCAGCTACTCAAGGTATAACTAGATTGAAACATGCCCATTCGGATAAGCAAGAAGAATCCAGAGCTGATCTGAATGGGTGGAGGGAGCCAGAAAGAACATATTGAAAAAGGTGAGTTTAGAATGGCAGGAAGATAATTAATTGATCGTAAGGGAGCAGAAAATAATCTGATGAATGGAAGCAAATTATTTAGCTTTGTTTCATATGAGATGAGTAGAAAAATGATAGTAAGGATGTTTCAGTAAATGTGCCATCCTCTAGAGAGGTAAAATATAGATCATGCCTATTTCTATTTTGAACTGTTTTCATTTATTTGTTCAGTAAATATTTATTGAGCACTTATTGTTTTTTTGTGTGTGCGTTTTTTAGTACTTAGCTGGAAAGTAGGTATGTATATACAGAATAACAACATTTAATACATCTTTAGATGAAGGTACTGACTCTGAGGTGGCCTATTTTCTTTTCCCTCTCTTTTGAACATTGCTATGGCTTCCATACCTACCTCATTAGTCTTTTCCACAACCCTGGTAGGTGGAATGCTATGCTTATTTCACATGACGGAACTGAGCACAGAGGTGTTTAGTGAGGGGCCCAAGCTCACATCTAGAAACTGAACCATCTCTATTTGACTCCCAAACTACTCTTAACTGCCACACCAGCTGCCGGCCAGAGTTTGGCAAAGTGACAGTGTACCGCTGCCAGTGAGTTTACTTGAACAGATAATCTATAGTATATAGTAATGAAAAATGAAGTTTTAAAATTAGTATTTAATAAAAGCATAAGACTGTCATTATCGAATTCAGAAGTGACAAAGTAACAACAATGCAAAAGAGGATTCTAGACTTCTTTAATTAAAGAACTGGAAGGAAGTAGAAGTGATTTTTTTGTTTGTTTGTTTTTGAAAAGGCATGCCAGTAATAGTCATAGCATGATATGAGGCAAGATTAGGTTTATGGACAATTTGAAGGAAAATTCATCCGAAGCTGGGAAGGTGAAGGTGAGGTGCTAAGGTAATGGAAGAGTTAAAAATCATTCTTTAGTTGGCAAGCTTAGGAAACCAGGGGTGGTAAGTATACTATGATTGATAAAAAAATGGAATGAAGTGATTCTTTTGGGTATGGTGAAAAGGTGAATCTGATATTCAATATTCACATAATCAGGAGCTGCATTGTATATTTAGAGAGTACAATTCTATGGCATCCTCTCCAGCTTTTATCCACCCCCAATTCAAACTTTTTATCTCACACCAGAGCAAAAGATCAAAACACTTTTATAGGAAGCGATAATTTGGAAAGACTGGGCTATAAAGCCGGTTGAACTTGGTGTTGATAACTCAATAATGGATTTGGTTAGACCAGAGATCCCCTCTTTCTAGGAGCCCTATGCAAAGACAGTGAAGGCTGTTTTTGCCTTTTGTCATTGGTATAGCAGTTACTTAGATTCCAGGGTCTTTCTGTCCTTCCTCTCTGCCTTTCTGCCCCCTCCTTCCCATTTCGGTTGTAGGTGAAATTCACAATATGTGTGCTTGAGTCACTGCAACTGATTTCTCAAGATTCTGAATAATGATTTTAATTGGATAACTGACTGAAAAACAGAAAAGATCTTAATTTGGGGTATATTTCATATAGATCTGTCTCTAACTGATCTTGATCAATATCTCCCCTTGAGCCCCATCCTGTTTGTTCAGAGAAGAATTTGTTCTTACTTTATATTCAATAAATGAGTCACCAAAGTGTCTTAGCATGTATTAGATACCATTTAACATATGGGAAATTTTCCTTACCAGTGGAGTTAGTTTTATCTCAAATATTTCCTTATTAATTCAATCCAAACAAGCTTTTCAAAAATCTATATTTTGTAAATGTGTGTGCATGTTTCCATCATTAACTTAATAAAACTTTATTCCACTTTAAAATATTAACTTCTATTTCTCACTTCAACAAAATTGTCAGTATTTTTCCTTCTAATTCACTCATTCTTTGTCTTGAAAGAAAAATCAATGATCTCTATGCTCCAAGGTCTATATTGATCACATTCAACCTTCTTCCCCTTTCCTAACAAACAACAAAAACAATAAAGGAACAAACTCAAGAAACAAAAAATAAATTGAAAAGAGAAAGAGAAAGAAAATAACAACTATAGGCACCAAAGTCTGATGTGATTTCATAATAATAGAATAGAAAATATTTCAACAAACATATGGCATTACATGGTTGGGCTGCATCTTTAAGAGTCTGAGTAATCAATAGAAAATATAAATTTATTGAACATATTTTCTCACAAATACTTCACATGGTTTTGCTGTAAATTTTATGGCTTGTCACAGATACATACCTCTTCAGTAAGATTCTAGAAAAGGAAGGAAGATATTACCAGGAGTTGCACTACAGCTGTCACTTCATACTTACAGCAACGGCCTCCAGGATTTGTTTAACAGCATCTGCAGCATCTCGTTCACTGTAATATCCTTTTTCCACAATCCTAAAAAATACACATGCGCTCAGTTGAGTGGATGCTAAAAGAAGTTAGTTATATTACTGTTAAGGGGATGCATCCAAATAATTACAACAGGCTACCCTAACACCAGGACAAAAATTTCCATAAATTGGCACTTTTGAAACCTTTGGGTTTATTAAAGAAAATAAAAGACATTCATTTTCTATTAACATTATAAAAATAAAGAGGACAAATTTTTATTTTTATTTTTAAACTTTGTATTGTGAATCATTATAAGCATATACCAAGTTGACAATATGACATCAACCATTTCTGTACTTTCAGGAATGTTTTACATTTATTTTCTTCCATTACTTTGGTTTTCTTCGTTGGGTTGTGCATTTATACACGTATAAATGTTTTTCAACTTTTGATTTACATGATTCTTCTATAATTTTCTTAATTTTAGTTTATTTTGCAATATTGAGCTATACTTTTAGCCATACCATGGGCACATCCTCCTGGCATGCTTTCACTGCCTAAAGGAAACTTTTTCCTGCTTATTTTCTGTGCTCTTATAATCATTTTATATTAGAATTAAGTGAGACACCTCTCTCTTGCTGTTTATGTTTAAGCCAAATTGGTTTGCTTTTTAAAAATTGAAGTTAACAAACAATATTTTATTAGTTTCAGGTGTACAACATAGTGATTTGACTTTTATGTTCCTTACAATGTGATCACCACAAGTCTAGTAACCACCTGTCACTGTGCAAAGTTAATACGATGGCATCGATTATTGTCCCCACACTGTACATTACATCCCCATGACTTGTTTTATTTTTTACAACTGGAGGTTTGTATCTCCTTTCCCCCTTCACCCTTCTGACAGAGAGGTGGGCCAGGCTATCTTTTCTAGCTTCATGGCTTTTGACCTTCTGTGTTTTGTGTTTTGTTTTTGTTTTTTCATGAAGCATTAAAAGTATGATCTCATACTTTCTTTTTTTTTTAAAATATATTTTATTGATTTTTTACAGAGAGGAAGGGAGAGAGATAGAGAGTTAGAAACATCGATGAGAGAGAAACATCGATCAGCTGCCTCCTGCACACCTCCTACTGGGGATGTGCCCGCAACCCAGGTACATGCCCTTGACCGGAATCGAACCCGAGACCCCCAGTCCGCAGGCCGATGCTCTATCCACTGAGCCAAACCAGTTTCGGCTGATCTCATACTTTCTGAGATCTCCTCTATCTGGAACTTCATTGCCTTGCCTCTACCATCTCTACTCTGATTATTGGAGTTTCTCCCTAGCAGTTTCTCCTAAATATTGGGCTTTTTCTTAAGGGGTGTCAGTTATTAATTTCAAGAGTTCATAGGACCTTTGAATGCATTAGTCACTTCAGACCTTATGTGGATCCAGCCTTTACACTTCTCAGAAATTCGGATGGCAAAATGGATTTCAGCTGCTTTCCTTGTATTGGCTCATCCTGCTTCCCAATAATTTGGAGATTTTAGAAATTTGAGGTTTCTGCCACTCTTAGGTCACATGACCTCTTGTTAACCTTGGCTTCCTCTGACATAGATGCTAACACCAGGGGGCTCTTGGGCTTGTCATTTTTTCCTCACTCACGTGTATGTTAGGCTTCATGGGGATGCCTTGTCACCTGGTTTTGTTATGTTGTCTGTGAGTTTTTGTTTTTTCTGTCCTAGTTTCTCTGTCTATTCTTAAATTACTTTTTATCTTACCAGAATTTCAAGAGAAAACACATTTTGGAGATGGCATTGTAGATTAGCAACTTGCATAAGATGTTATTAGCTAATAAAAAGTTTGTAGTAAAGACGTGAAAAAGATCAACTCAAAACATAAAAGAGACAAAACAACTAATTTTCATAATTTTGGACTGAAATTTGTTTTAGATCATTGATTCCTCAAATAGTATAGTTATTTTTCAGAAACTATTTTCCTTTTTGAAAAAGAAATTAGCAAGAAGTTGTAAGTTCTCGAAATAGCTGGTGTTAAAAGTTGAATTTAAAATCTATAAAATGTTTTCATAATAGGGGATTAAGGGTGAGAAATGCAGAACCCAACATTTTGAAAAATAAAAGATTTCCCAATGATCATAACTGTCAAGATTCAGAAAAAATATATTGATACAGAAAATCCAATTATTTTATTTTCTCCATTCAATTATTTAGAATATTGTCAAGAAACACAAGCTCATCTTTTCAAAGGATAGAAGATAGAATATTTTTCCCTTTTTTGTTTCTTAGATAACTGGTATGCAACAGGATCAAATAAAATGTGAAAATACATTAAAATATTTGGGGGACTATTATTAATTGGTTCTTGAAAATCAATTTTCATCTGATATTTCCTTCCAAGAATACACATTTTTCTTGAATTCATGTTTGAGTTCATAGTCTACCTACTAAAAATGTAACTGAAATAATTTCTTGAACTATACTTTCTGAACATTTTAAAATTAGGTACAAGAGAAGGAGAAAAGGACTGTTGCATCAGAGGAAGTTGAAAACTTTGGCTACCATTATATTAACCACTGCATTTTGCTCTAAATATGGATTTTGTGGGACAACTACCACCCAACACAAATGTAATTAGTGTCTCTTCTGTGTACTGCACCTGCAAGCCTCAGATGAGACCTCACATAGTGGAGAAGTTATTAACAAAAACATTACCATAGATGCAATTCATGCTATATTACGGTTTGTACGGATGAAGGGTTTATTAATTCTGTTGTCAGAAATGTCTCTAGAGTAACATGTGGGGCAGGAGCACAAAATGCAGGCACCTTCCCTGCCTCATCTCAGTGTGAATTCTGCACACCAGAGCTTGGCCCTACCATCAGAATGCGACTGTTTCTCTTCCAGGCTCCTTCTTCTAAAAGGAACTTTGTTCCCAAGTTGATTTTTCATCAGAGTGTCACAGAGTTAGGTTCCTGGAACTCAGATATTCAATTTTAAATATTTTATAAGTTGCGCTACCACCAAGGCCATCCATGACTGACTAGGAAAATCAATAGCATGAACTTCTCAAGTTGCAAATGCAGGTTTATTACTCAAAACGAAGATGATAAGTGAAGATACTAGTGACCAAGCAAAGGAAAATGAAGTTCTGCAATCTTTATCTTTCCATTTAGGTAGCATGACTACAGTAGATGTTTTGAGCCAGTGCCTTCTACAGGTATGGTGGCAAACTTCTTAGTTTCTCACTAGATGGTTGCTTTGATCACCCAGAGAGACTAGCTCCAAGACTTACTCATAGTAGGTAATCAATAAATGTTCATGGAAGCAATATTAATTACCAAGTAAATGATGCCAGAAAAATTTCAGACTGTGGACATTTGGACAACTCCTTTGCCTATGTTCCTTATCACAGGGAACAAAAGCACTGAACTGGAAAGTACACGGGCCATGGATCCAGGGGAGAACAATCATATAGATGCTTCCCAAACCCATAGGTGGAAGGGTTACACTGGCCTTAGGAGGAAAGTCAGAGTCACATAGTTTCAAGATATCATTGTAATACATAAACCTTTCTAGAATCGTATTTTGAGCAAAATCAAAATGATTCAAATTCATTAAAATAGAGTAATTTTGTTCCATGAAGCAACACAAATTCCTACCTAAAATTTAGCTGGAAAAATTTTTTTTTAGTTTCCCATGAATTGAACATGCATATACAGTAAAGAGTTTGTAGCTTTACATAGAAAATACCAGGACTTCAATTTTTAGAAGCAATAAAATGTTTAATCATGATAGCGTTTTTAGAGCTGTAAATATAGGGGGATAATTATGGTTATTTTTGTTTTTATATTTAAACATACTTATTGCTGTATTTCTCTTCATATTTTATAAACTAAGTTCCTTTTCATGCTTTGTAAAATAATGAGAAGGCAGTTACAATGCCACCAACATCTTAAGATCATTTTCAAAGGCCCACGGCCATGTAGTTTGTTGCTACGCCACACAGTTTCCCATAGTTCCATGCGGTCTTGGTTAGAAGACTCAGTGCTAAAAGCAAAATCTTTCCTAGGATTTTAATAACAAACCTGACCCAAAAGGCTGCTTTGGGATCCTAGTTCTTTCAGGTCCCTGAGTCGCTAACTCGTCTAGCCGACATCTGGAGATCTGGGAAGGCAGCACATCAAGGTGTATTTCTCTGGGCTCCAGGCTGTGACTCTGTGGCCCCAACAGGCCTTCTACTCCAGGCTGTGCCTTTTCTTGCCACTGTTTGCTGTGTTAGCTCATATGCTACTCTTCCCCACAACTGGGTTGTTTTCCTTCTCATCATTTTAAAATTGTAGGAGAAAACACAGGCAATGCCTCTTTCTCTCCATGGATCTGCTTTAAAATACGACTTCTGTGCATTTGTTCTGTCACCTTAATTGCTGCAAATTGAATTGAGCGCATCTCCAGCTGGGCAGTTAGCACAGGCAGTGCAGCTGAAGAGCTCTAATCTGATCATATCCAGAGGCCTCAGACTTCCTGGCACGTACATTGGGAGCCTACTGCCTTCTCCACCAATGACAGCTTTTTTTCAAATGGCGATGTTATTGTGATTAGATGACTGTAGGTTAATGTGAGAAAGACATCGCTCTTATGAAAATGTGTACTAAAAGACTGAATGACAAAAGGTAAAATCCCCAAATAATATGAGTTTTAGGAACCAAGTCTTAAAGACTGCTAGTACATCATTATGCCGTTACATACAAAAAAAAAAATTACACTAAAATGAATTCCACTGTTTCCAATAAAACCTACCACTCCTTTATAAGCTTCATTCACTGCTTTTCCTCATTTCATCGATGGCCCATTGGTCTGTATTGATGCTTTTTCTAAGAACTTTCCCAAAGAGTATTAAATTCATATATTTAAAAAATAATTTCAAAGGTATTATTACCACCTGTTAAATTTGAAAGGTAGGGAGAGAGTGAGGAGACTATGGGTCAATGTGGGTGCTGGCCGGGAGCTGACAGTGCAGGAGGAAGGGAAGGCCAGATCAAATTGTAGACCTGGGAACAGAGACCAGGGATTTCTAGTTCAATTCTCTCCTACTATACAATAAAAGTCTGACCCAAAGACGTTATATAAAGTGCCCAAGAGTCCACTGTTTATTGAATCACTCATTTGACAAATATCCAGCAACTTCTTGCTTCCTGTCTCAAACAGCTTCTAAAATGGAGACTAAGGTTCTCTACCTATCCCCCACTAGTGCAACCTGCTTTGGGACATCACTTTGTCCTTCCCTCTTCCCTTTGCCTGCTGATTTATGATTTCTTACTTAAGATTCAGCTCAAAGACTCTATTCCTCCCTGAAGCCATTTCTGATTTAGAAGACTCCCATATTTTGTATCCCATGTACTGTTTATTTCCCAATCACAGCATTTATCATGAGAATCCTTATAGCCAAATCCGTGGCCAACCTCTAGCAAATACAAAGCATCATATTGTATGTCTTTTCTGTGCCAGTTCTTATCTGTATATATTGTTAGTCCCTTCTCATTTATTTATTCTTTTATTTTATTAATTGATTAATTTATTTATTTATAATGTTCAATAAATTTCTAAGAGTAGCGACTAGCCCAAGCAGGATGGAAGACCAAAACCTCTGGAACTTTCTTTTTCACATTATATCATAATTTTGTAGAAGTCTTTTTGGGGGCCAGATTTTCTTGGACGTACACACGAAATCACTGATTTTATTCCAAAAATGTTAATCAATATTCCTATGCAATTTACTGCTTATAGTCTACATGAAATGGAAAATTTCACTTGGACTTTTACTAAGTTTAGTTTTTTAGAAGCACCATAAAATAAATCTTTTATTGCTAATAAAATACAACCATTTTGCCCATAATGTACTAACATGATTATCTTTTCATCAATTGCTCCATTAGTGCATTCATTAGATACAATTAAGGCCATCATTAGACCAGGGATGAATTTTTATCATCACAATTAAATAAATTTGGTTTTTGACCTGGGTAAGGAAAAAGAAAGTATATTATGATTTTTAACTCTCAGAAAGAAAACAATGCATAGATAATAATAAATGATATATTTTCAGCTTGATACAATTTTAAAGATAACTGCAGAATTAAGTAATATAATGGAGAAACCAAGTTCATCTCAGATATGGCAACAGACATGTAGACAACAATATTAACGGGGAAAGACAGTCTACTGTCTAAGACCACTGAGAGTTTATAGAGTAGTTGAGTGCTTTACTGGCTGTCTGCCATTCTTTAGATGTATTCTCTTAATTCTGAATATTTCATCAATTTTCTCTGTAAATGAAATTTATCACCAGCATTCAGTTTTTTTCGTTTTTGTTTAAAGCTGAATTAACTCTATCCCATCAAAATAAGCTAGACTACAAGATGAGAGAACCAGAATTCTTTCATGAAAAAAAAGGTTGGGACATAAGGAAGGAAAGAGACTCATGATTCCAAAATAACTTGTACAAAGAGAGGTAGGTAGGTAAATAACATGTGCTGTTGGTAGACAATAGCTTCAGTGTGACATCCCTGTCCTGCAATTATTTACAATTAAAGAACATGAGAGTTCTCTCTGAGTTCTCCTTCAAGAGACCTCATGGCCACAAAGCTAGCAGGATTTAACTATACATAGACTCTAAATGTACCTAAAGAAGGAATATGTTCATGAAAGAGTCAGCTAAAGAGGTATTAAAAAAGGAGCTGCTATTGGCAAATTTTGGCAACATTCAAATAAGCTAGTCCAGATGAGTCTTGAATAAGCGTGGGAACATGGTGGTTTTAGAACAGGACTTTCCTGATATAATCAGAGTGATCAGACTGTGTCAGATCCGAGAACTGAGTGGAACAGAGTGTCTCAGCTTCCTTAGCATCAGAGAACTGCATCAAATTTGTTCTGAGGTTCGGAGAAGTTAAGCAAATCAGGTTAGTTAGTTATTTGTCCCTTAAGTATAGCTACTAGCCAACTGCCACAAGACGTATATATTTAAAAACTGATGCCCAGTTCCCTCAGTTGATTCATTTATTGGTGATGAATGAATATACTGAAAATGTTACAACTCTCAAAGTCTGCTCATTCATAGCACTTATGTTAAGGAAACTTCAACATATGTAATGAACAAATTATGTATCTGTTAAAGATATACAGGTAGCTCCAATCAAGCTGTGCCATTTTGCTCCTTCCTACCTGATGATCCAAACCTTCACTGGATAACATTTAAAACAGAACCTTTGAAAACCAATATAATTACTTTTAGAAGCTCCTGAGAGAAGTGCTTCCTCGCCCAACACAACCTAAACTTATCCCCTTTATTTTTAAATTATTTTTTAAAAATATTTTTTTATTGATTTCAGAGAGGAAGGAGAGGGAGAGAGAGCGAGAGAAACATCAATGATGAGAATCATTGATCTGCTTCTCTTGCATGCCCCCTACTGGGGACCAAGACCAAAACCCGGGCATGTGCCCTGGCTAGAATCGAACCTGGAATCTTCCAGTCCACAGGCTGATGCTCTATCCACTGAGCCAAACCATCTAAGGCTAAACCTATCCCCTTTAAGTATCTTCCTTCTCAGAGTCCACTTATCTTAGTGGTTGCTCATTCGTTCATTCATTCATTTAGCAAATATTTATTGAGAATTTGCTGTGCTTTAGGCACCTGGATACATCAGCAGATACATCAATCTCTTTTCTGTCTTCTGTCTACAGCCCACATCTTCTTAACCAATTTTATAAATCAACAGGACCTTTACATCTGTGCATAACTTCTTATAATTTCTAATATATACCTACTCAGTCCTTTGACTTCTTCCAATTTCATTATTTTTTTATTATGCCAATGAACACAGCAAAGGGGTCCCAAGAGATAATCAGGGTAAACAGGGAATTCTCCTGAGAAGACGGGGAAGGTGGAAAGCCATGGAGACCTGAAGCTTGTGTCTCTTAGACAAACAGTTTGTCTATATTATTATGCTCTACCAGTTTTCTAGGCACACTCCCAGCCATCCTCAAACCTCTGTCTTGAGTGATGAGCATATGAACAGACAACTAAAATTGGTTATTATTGAAAAACATGTTGTACTCTGCAACTTGGAACTCTTTACAGAGCCTAATAGAGAAAGTAGGCCTCAAATAGCCATTTGAAGAGTATTGATTTTTAAGAGCTTTTGGATCATAATAAAGAATACAATTATAACACCTCTAACTTTCTATACTTTTTAATCTAATGTTTTCTTACAAAATATTGGCATAAATCTTACTGTTTAGTTTAGATTTATTATGACTTTAGAAATTCTGTGTTTATTGGGGAAGTAAATTTTTGCAAAAGTAAGTAGATATAATGCTTCCCTTTTTATTCACTAAACATCCCAACTTTTCATCCACTTACATCTTATCAGGTTTGACTCTCCTTTTGTTCTACACTCCCCTTAAGATTTATTTTAGTAGAATTTATTAACTGGTATGATGTGTCCTTATAAAAAATTTCAGGAGAAATTTCCCTTTAATTCGTTTTTGGTGACTAGAAGCAAAGCCTTTCTGTGGTTGGATTTCCAGAACCAACTCACCTGTCAAACAGCTCTCCTCCTGTGACAAGTTCCAGGACCAGACTGATTTCCGTAGGGGTTTCAAATATCTCTTTGAGTTTTATCTGGAGAAAGATATAAAAAATGATCACACATTCCTTATTTTCACCTTTCTAAGAAATAGCTAAAGCTATGGCTAAAACAAAACTCTAACAGTAAGGTGTTGGATCATTGTCAATGAAAGGTCCATATGCCAGTATCAGGGAGCCTTTTGTCACTCTCTGGTTGTTATTATCAGTGACCTCATTTCTTCAAGGGTCCTTTTGAGTTTTGATATTATTCCTTTTGACAGATGAAAGATACCTGCCTTAGAAACACTTTCTAATTTTTATCAAAATATCTCGGTTTCTGGATTGCTGCAGAATCTTTACACATAAAAGCCTAAGCGACCAAACAACCAAATGACCAGTTGACTGGTCGCTATGGTGTGCACTGACCACCAAGGGGCAGATGCTCAATGCAGGACTTACCCCCTGGTGGTCAGTGCGCTCCCACAGCCAACCTCCCGTGGTCCCTCCCCATGGCTGGCCAACCTCCTGCAGCCCCTCCCTTCAGTGGGCCAACCTCCCGTGGCCCCGATTGGACCCAATCACCGGCCAGGCGGAGGGACCCCACCCATGCACAAATTCGTGCACTGGCCCTCTAGTTTAAAAATAAAAGCAAACAAACAAAACTTCTTAAGCCATTGGAAAGCATCATGGTTGCTGGAAATGCAAATTCATCTTCTTCCAGGAAGGAACTTGGAATCTGGGTCTGAGAACAGAGTAGGACCAGGGGAAAGTATGTGTTTGTGGAAAGCAGGAACCTCAACTACTAAAAAGTCACTGATAGATGAAGGAATCCTCAGAAATGTAGAGTGGCAATGATTTGATTGACCATAACAGGGATTCCAACACATTCAGATAATCCATCTAATTTTGGATATTTTCCTGAATACATCTGAGAATCTAGTGACAGGACTGATCTACATTTGAGGTCAATTCTACATTGACTTCTCTTTGAAAGAAAAAAGACGGACAGTGAAAAGTTGATGATTGTATGTGGCACATTTCATTGATTGCCTACGCAAAGCCCTTCTCCCCCTACGTAATTGCAAACAGAACTTTGAATTTGTTTAGGGAAGAACAGTGCCTGGCCTCCAAATATGGATGGTAATTGGTCTGAGCCACTTATGATAACCCTGCTCCCCATTTTCCCAGGCTCTATGAAGTTAAGGCTGCTCCTGTGACCAGCTCTGACCAATAAAATCTGAAGAGAATTTTATTGTAACTGGAAATTCTGAAAAAACTTTTACTCTTCTCATAGGACTCTGCTTTGGGGACTTTCCACTTCATTCTGTCTTGAATACAGACCTGAAGGCGTAAGAAGTATATGGAACAGCCATTTGAAGACCATGAGGGAAAAGCATGAAAGCAAAGGCACTGAGGGTGGCAGAACCAATGGATAGTAAGCATCTGGGTTTTGTATGACATCAGTGAGGGGCTGAACCAATGCTAGGAATGGCCTGCCTTCTGATCTCTTATAACTTAAGGAAAACATCTCCAGCGGTTCTCAACCTGTGGGTCACGACCCCTTTGGCGGTCGAATGACCCTTTCACAGGGGATGCCTAAGACCATCCTGTATATCAGATATTTACATTACAATTCATAACAGTAGCAACATTATAGTTATGAAGTAGCAACAAAAATAATTTTATGGTTGGGTTACAACAAGAGGAACTGTATTTAAAGGGCTACTGGTTTAGACCAATATATTCAAGTTTTCTGTTATTTATAGCTTGAATGCTATAAATAACACTGCTAACTCATATATTAAGTTTTAAGCACTTGGCTTTGAGCCTAAGCATTACAAGCCACCCTCCTGGATGCAACTTTCCCAGAGAAATGAGTAAAATACTTTCTTTAAGTAGTTGGCTCAACTCATAAAAACAAGTGATGGCCTGGAAACTGACTTTGTTCTTTTCACTTCACTGGCTGGAGAAAGCTTTTCTCCAGACCTTGCCCTCAGTGCCTTTGGACACAGCCTAAAGCACAGCTTCCGAAAACCTTTTGTTTTCCCCATTCAAGCACAGCATTTATTTGAACCTTCACATTGTTTCTGAAGCAGACACTCCCTCTGAGGAGGCTGAAATGACTTTTGAAAGCAATGCATTTTTTTTACAGGCTTTTTCAGTAATGGTGTATTAATAAGATGGACACACAGAAGGAAAAATACATGGCTTTACTAGCGCAAGACAAAGCTATCCAAATTTTAGCTATCCTTTAATGCATAAAAATAAAGAGGGTATATATTGCTGACCTGTCCATTTTTAAACTCTGTTGAAAAGGCACTATATTTAAGATTCATTCGGCTAAAGAATTGAAAGTTGTGGTCAGATGAGGACAAGAACCTGTGGCTGTTTATGGGTGGTGGGTGAATCTCTTTTCCATGATCAGCGTGGACAGTAAAAAACAAAAATCCCATTCTATTACTTTAGAGACAATTTGAAATAGTAGTTAAAAAATCACTTACAATGTTTGGATGTGAGAGGCGAAGAAGAACTCCTATCTCAGTTCTCACGATTTTTTTGTCCACCTAAAAGGCAAAATGAAAGAGAGAAACTGAAAGAAACTCCCACTTTAGAAATGTCTTAATTATAGCAGAGAATCAGAAACAGCAATCACTCACTACCTTGGTGAATCAGGTAATTGGCAGAGGCGCATTCCTAAGCTTTTTTCTTGTGTCTCCTTCACTCCCACCCTCCTTGTCTTTCCCCATGTCTTTCCTCTCTGCTTTATACATAAAGTAGAACTAGTTACACATACGGGACACAATTTACCAGACCCCTTGCCTGCCCCGTTTCCTATCAAAAGTCATTGCTATCACCATTAAGGCAAAAGTTCATGTCAACCTATTCCTTCTCTTTCTCTCCCTTTCTTTTATGAATCCCTGTCCCAAACCCACTGGAGCTGTCAATCACTTCACCTGTCTTTTTCACTCAGCAGTGGCCACATAAAGCAGCCTGACCAATCAGAGTACTGTTTCCTGGCCATAGTGATTGGGTCATGGATATCCACCAGACCCAAGTCATCCCAATCAGGGTCTTCCCTAGAAATTTTCCTCAAATAATAAAAAAAAAATAGGTATTTTCTTTTTCTCTGAAATTGTGAGATCAGAAAAAAAATAGAATATGCCACTACCAGTGTCCAATTTTGATACCATCTGCGAACTACTTAACTGAAAATAGAGCCAAAATAGAAAAAAAAATTTTGTTCTGAGGGGTGAAGAATGAGTATTGGTGACATAATGTAATCCACTGGATTCAGTTTGGCCTTTGAGATTTCTTACTATATGAGCCACTAAATTTCCTTTTCTATTAAGTTATCCAGAGTTAGTTTTCTGTTGCTTGCCATTAAGGAATCCTAGCTGGGCACCACTTGATCTCTATATTTAAAAGAGTAGCCATTTACTTTACATTAAAAATTAGGAGTATCCCCCTTTCTAGGTCAATGATTGACACTTTCAACCACAGTGAACTGAAGTTTTAGAAGTCATATACTAGAAAGAAAGGTCTTAGTGTCTGCCTCTCCCAAATAGCTACACACACTACTATACTGGAGATTAAAACAGATTTTTAAGAAGTATTTTAATAACTTAGCCTGGCCAGTGTGGTTCAGTGGTTGAGCATTGACCCATGAACCAAGAGGTCATGGTTTGATTCCCAGTCAGGGCACATGCCTAGGTTTCAGGCTCAATCTCCAGTGGGGGCGTGCAGGAGGCAGCCAATCGATGATTCTCTCTCATCACTGATGTTTCTATATCTCTCTCCCTCTCCCTTCCTCTCTGAAATCAACAAAAATATGTTAAAGAGAAAAAATGTATTTTAATAACTTAAAATAGAACAATAAGAAACTTGTTATATTTTAGCATAAGTAACATTGTCTTTAAAAATAACTACATTTTCCAAAATTAAAAAATACATATACTCCTGTGCTGAGAGCTGAGAAGGTTGGGGGAGAGAAGGGAGAAAAAAGTGAAAAATATGTGAAGAAGAAAGTAATGAGGACTAAATTGGAGGTTTGAGTGAGAAAGTGCAAAATGTTCTCTTGTAGAGTGAGAGAGCCTTATAAATTAAAATGGGGCCAATGAATATGATTGTGTGTTTTCTTTCAACCACTGGGATAAGAGCTGTACTACTTTGGTTAAGCTTCAGGGAGGTTAAAAGACCACTTCTTATGTTTGTTAATTACTGTTGACCACCATGGTCACACCTGAGTTACAGACCTGGGCATCAGCCACGCCCTGCGGACATTCAGGTTCTAATAGAAACGTGAAAACCGGCACCATTTCTTTGTAGTGCCATTAGTAATTTTTACATGGTTAAGACAGTACTTTTCCCAAAATGCTTTTTAAATTACCAAGAAGGCATGAAAATAAGGAAATTTACTCTTTTTTAAAATATATATATTTTATTGATTTTTTACAGAGAGGAAGGGAGAAGGATAGAGAGTTAGAAACATCGATCAGCTGCCTCCGGCACATTCCCTACTGGGTATGTGCCCGCAACCAAGGTACATGCCCTTGACCGGAATCAAACCTGGGACCCTTGAGTCCACAGGCCGACGCTCTATCCACTGAGCCAAACCGGTTAGGGCTACTCTTAATTTTACATTTCTTTCAATTGGGCAGCAAGTACTCAGTTGCACAATTCCCAACCATCTGAAGTGAGAGGCAGAACAATGTATACTCTCAGAGGCCCTGAGATACCCCTTCGATCTTAAAATGAAGTGATTATTTCTTAGTTATAAAACTGAGTAATTAGGGATCCAAGAAGCTTATGACTTTGTAATTTGTAAATTAACAAATGCAAAAATTACTCCTGGAAGAATTGCATTTTAAGGCCCATCAGTTGCATCTTGGGTTGAATCTTTTACTGAGGGTAGCTTTGAATAGGGGAAAGCCCAGACATGCTTAGAACCTTGCCTGTTGTTTTCCTAAGATAATTAAGACCTTCAAATACCCTAGTTAACATTACTCAAGGATGCTAAAAACTTCCTAAAAAAAAAACAGCTATAGGGGGAAAATGTTTTTAAATGACTTCAAAAGTAGAATAATCATGCTGTGGGGCTGGAATCGGAAAGAAAGAGATCTTAAAGATTTAAGGTTTGAAACAACACCATTACTGATTTTGCTGCCCAGCAGGATTCTTCCTCGACGTGGAAGCGTGGATTTGACTCCCTTCCTGAGGAAGCATCCTAACATGAGTGAACCCCAGAGCTCTACTTTGCTCCCAGGTCTTTCCAGAATTAGCAACTAAAGTTTCAGCTCAGTCCTTTTCAACATCTTTTTCTTTATAGGAATGTGCACATCCTCAATGCACTCCCATCAGCATGGCCTTAAGCCTCTTTTCGGTGGAAGGACTCATAGTTTAAAAGCTCCCCTATGCATAATTGGGTAGATAAGCGCACATTCCTGCCCATGTCCCAGCATTGCTCCCTCTCCGATACTTGCCAGGACTATTTTAAATGAAAAGAGACTCAAACTGGAAAAATAAACCCTAAAATATCTTTGACTAAAATGTTAAGTGTTTGTCCTCCCAGATATCCAGTGGTGCTTGTCTTATGAGAAATTTCAATTATGATAAGAAACAGAGAATTGTGATAAGAAACTTTAAAATAAATTTTCAAATGTAACTATGGTAGGTAAATCTTGACACCCACATTCCCCTTCATAAAAATACATTGGAATTTAAAAGGTGAAGATGATCATCTTGAATCTGCTTTGATTTATCAATAAAAGAAATCATTTGCAGCTTATAGTGCTCTAGTATGTATGTCACACATTGAAACTCATCACAACACCTACATGTGTCTTGATGCCTTGCTGGAGAAACAGTTCTAGACTATTCTGATCTCAAATCTCAAAGAAAAATCCTCCCAGCGACAGCTGGAGATGTTGTAGGAGGATAAAAACCATTGTAGATATAACCATCCCTTCGATAGAGCTTTCAAACTTCTGGGGTAGAGATAAATATGAGCAGCTTGAACTGAATGTATCCTGTGATACTGACACTTGCAGCAGAAAGGAAATTGGAGCTCGACATACACAACTGCACCTGGACCATCACTGCATCGCCTCTACCATTGAGACAAAGAGCAGGAAGAGCCACGGCAAGCGATGCCTCTATTTTGTATATTGTACACCTCCAGTTGTTCTTTCATTTGTTAGTGGCTGTTGCATGCAGATACTCCTTAGACAAAGGTTTTGACAGCACTGGAAAAGAGATATGCTGCTTGTATTCTCTGCACATAGGGAATATTATGTAACCTTGTTTCCCAGTGTGACTTAGAACTGCATCAGCTTCTCTGTGTCTGTGTGTACATGAGGGCTTTTTCATCTTTTATACGCGTAGCAATCCCCATCATCTAGTTTTGGTCCTAAATATGGGCCATGAACACTCCTGACCTCTTATTTGTCTTTTTCAGGACCTAGTTGGTATAAGTGGGAAGGGCCTGTTGGGGACTGGAAAACCCTGGGTTCAAATTCTACAGGCTATTACGTACTTTGGACATGTCACTTCTCTAAAACTCCTATAAGTAATCCACCCCCTGGGGCACTCGGGTTAACATGTGACAGGGGCTACCACACAGTGTTTACGGATGAAATACAGGCTCCATTCTCATTAGCATTATGCTCCTTTACTGTTAAAAACTACTGAAGTGGCAAATGCTGATTCGAGTGCTTACTTAAAAAAAGGGGGGGGGGGGGGAAGATAGCTGAAAGCTAATTCAATCCTGAAAATTATTTGGACCTCTTCTAATTAATATCCTCTATACATAGTCACTGCTTCCTCTCTCTTAACAAAGGAAAGGTTTTGGAGTTCCATGATTTGGTCTTTTGTAAGCCTTGTTTCTCTCCTCTCTTCTTCCCGCTTTGGATGGATGGATGCAGCTTTGATCACCATTCAACTTTGTGCCATGAAGAAATACAAAAATAAAAACGGATTAAAAATGATTTCCCTGTTAACACGAAGATTCTAGATTTTCTCCTTCTCACAAGGTGTGAGTCCTACGTTTGCTTTGAGGCTGACAGGCTCTGTTCCTCGGGCTCTCTCAGCTCTCCTGCTTGTGGTCCTCTGGGTACCAGTGCCCCAGCCCCAGGCTCCTGACCTTGGGCCCCTGTCAACTTCCTGCTGCCCAGCACCTCTCCTTTGGTTACAAGACCTTTCTCATACAGCTCTCTGAGAAATGTCTAGTCTTTCTCTTCTACTTGGGTACAGTAACATAAGTTCTCCCTCTAAGATTTCCTCTATTTTGGCTAGTTATACATCTCCTTTTTCTGCTCCATAGACTCCATATGAAGGGTAAAGAACACTTTAACTCCAACAAACTACTACTTAGAAAAGTACTAGAGGGTTACATGTGATAACTTGAGTGGATGGTGTAACTGTAAAGTTTGTTTTGTTTTAGGCAACAGAAAACAGGCATATGCCTATATTCTCATATTCATTCTCATATTCTCTCTCTCTCTCTCTCTCTCTCTCTCTCTCTCTCTCTCTCTCTCTCTCTCTCTCCTTGTCTTGTCCATCCATTCTT